GATCATTTTCTCATCTTATTATCATCCATCCGACGATAGAGTTAGTCATCTAATATTGGTGCATTTTGGTCGACTAATCGTCAATCCAACAGGTGGCAATTTAATATTAGGCAGCGAACATCTAACTACCATGGACAAAAATGTGTGCCACTAACAGCATTGAGTCCAAATAAAATTAATAACATTTTATAATCACATGCCAATCTATAAGACAGTATACATATTATGATACACATCATTTTCATAATACGAAAGATACGTACTTAAACTTTATTGAAAATTGTTCACCATTGATGTATAATCGCGAATTTTGTTGTATTCCGTTTTGATTAATTCATCTGGTATAACTTGTTTTACATTATCATAGTTTTCATCTTCCATCTTGAATAAGCCAATTGGTAATAATTTAAAAGCAGTTTGTTGTGTACGTGAACTAAATTCAGGACAACTCACAAGTAAAACGAGTAATTTTACTTTTTCACCGACCTGGGTTCCGTCTATTGACAAGCGTATTGTCATACTACGTCTTATTCTTGATATTGATGTTTGATTTGTATGTATTAATGTTTTTATTACATCTTCAACTCGAATATATGATCCAAATTCAGTGTTTATAACATTAATGTTTTCATTCATTTTTTGTCGAAAGTTTCTTAAGCTCCATACACTTGGCATTGTATTATTAATATGATGTATTTCGTTCATGGCATGGTCGGATATATTGTGCTTCAATTTCCAATGAAATATATTATGATTGTCCTGTGGTATTATTTCTGTTATTGGTAAATCTGCTGATGTTTTTGTGGTTAATAATGTTTCGTCAGTATCTGATGAATCTGAATAATGATATAATTTCATTAACTGGATTGATGCTTTACATTGACTATTTAAGACTGTTTTATCTTCTACGGAAAATAATAAGGAAAATGTTGACTCAATATGATGTATAATATGTTCAGATAGGTTTGGATAATTAAGTTGTGGGTCACTGTTAATTACATCTATCAGTTCGATGGTAAGTTGTGGTGGAATATTAATCTAAATATAAGAAGTTTAGTATTCTTGTCATACAGATAGTAAATCTAATGGTCCCTCGTTTCCTTTTTTGACAAAAGTTTTGTTTGAACTACCCACTCCTGGCTTTCTAAGGGAGCATTTCAAAATGTATTCCGGTCGGTCGGTCGCTATTCCTCTATTCCTCGACTATTCCTCTATTCCTGTATTTCGCTGTTCCTCTATTCCGCTATTATTCCTCTATTATAGAACATTTCATTGTATACTAGTTTATATATATCGAGCTTGATTTTCTTTTCTAATTGTTTCTACTTCTTCAAAAACAATTAACCGCCATATTTCCAAAGATTATTCATTGTATATGCATGTATTACATATAGTGCGATCAAAAGAAACCGAAAAAACAAAATAAAATGTAATCGAAATGAGGTAGAACAGCCTACTTAGGGAGCATTTCAAAATTGCATAAATACGAAAAAATATAATAATGTTCTTCTTATTTGTATGTATATATTAAATATGACTACAGATCTAATACTTAATAATACTTTTATTAAATTTTGTCCTTGTTCGACTGCATTTTTTATTTAATAATTCTTTATATTGATTAGGAGCATGTCAAAATTTAAATTCTAATTTATTTTGTTTTGTTTAATTTCGGTTCCTTTGTTTGTATTATGGATACATATATACATTGTTATATATATACTTCCAATGTATTCGTTTCTTTTAACAGACATCTTTATAAGGTCAGATATTTTTCTGTTTAAAGAATAAAATAAGAAACGAACAAATTTTATATTTTCATCAAATTTCATCTTTTATATATTCAACTCAGTGCTCACTGTAAATTTATTTCGTATTGAGCCAACTTCGCGAACTAAAATTACATTAATTACAGAAGTCCCATTCCCATTTGTTCTACTAGTTTAAAGTACACGAGTTGTACACGATAATGATCTATTTTTTAGAAAAGGACCCCTTTTAGTCTTTGAGAAATATGGCTGTGAATATCGTTGATTATTGTTTAGAAAAGGAAGTTTTCGAGGCAAACAAAAGAAGTCTCTGCAAGTCGGGCAAGGAAAAGCTTCCTTTTCTAAACAATAATCAACGATATTTACAGCCATATTTCTCAAAGACTAAAAGGGTTTTTTTAGCGTCACTTGCAACTGTTCGTGAGAAGGCGCCACAGCAAGAGCCAAAAGTATGCGTCTATCACGCACAGGAATTCTCATTCCGGGTAAATGATGGAGAGCTCGAGCTGTTTTTCTTTGCAGTAAATACCTATGCCTAGGAGTTGATAGAGCCCGATTTTTGAATTTCTCAGAAAGTGCTTGTAGACTGTCGGACTGCTTCTATAGCAAATGTCCGCTTGGCCTATGGAAAAATGCACACTATGGAGCGGGGGGGGGGGGGGGGGGGGTTTGGGGGGGCAAAAGGTGCGGG